TTGATGGGTAAGCGTAGGTTGCAGATGGCTACAGAGAGGCCAAGGAATACATTTCCCAAAATCCTAACTACGAACAGTGAGAAGGTACGCATCCTAATGTGCAGATTGATCTAACTTCCTGTTCTGTGCTTTGCTGTTTGAGCACTCCCTAGTCAAAACTAACTTTCGTAGACGTATAAATGCAACAGCTAGCAACCGTCTCTAAACGACAGATACATATGTTCCCTGACCTGCAGTGATGGAGACGTCCAATCCAGGCTTTACTCTGATGCAGCAGACTCTACTCTGAAGCAAAATTTTGTAATTGCATGTTCCAGTTATACTGTAACCATTAAGCAACCTTTGTTTTATAAATTAAATTAAATCTGATTTAGATTTTATGATAATTTCCATGTTTTAGAATATGACCATCTTTCTTCATAATAAACTTGCTTCACAATAAAATACAATATTACTTTCCAACTACAAGCAAAAAATTTAAATGTTCAGGATTCAAAAGACTTTGGCTCCATTCTACTATTTCTATCTATTACAGTAATATAGTTTAGACTATGTTAATCCACTGGGGCCATGGAGGATATGAAATAGCAAGATTTTGTTGACATGCTTTCCATCTATGAAGCACAAATGGACAGCAAAAAAACCCACCATTTATCTAATGCAGGAAGTACCTGTAGAGTACAAGTATAGATTGAGTACAAGATGAAAGGCTTACTGTAGGGCATACATGTGTAAACAAGATTCAGAATAACAAAAACATTTGGTTCATATTCTTGAAGAAAAAGCTTCTCTCTGATTTCCACTGACCAACTCACTGTTTTAACCCTCAGCCCTTTCTTGTGACTTATTCCCCAAAAACTGAGGTTCGTGCTCAGATAACATTCAAACACACAGGATCATTGACTGATTTAGGTAGCATTTGACTGTGGAAATCCCTTCAAGGTGTTTCTTACCCAGATACAACAAAGTTGAACCACTATTTCAGGGGGGAAAAAACAGATCCTGACCTTTTTTTCATGATACTCTTTCAAGTTTTTGAAGCGTGCACCCTTGAAACATAATAGGATCATCTTTTCTCAAGGTTAAATGTTGATACCAACATACCAAACATTCCATTTTTCTTCATAAGTCTTGGTTTCTAGTCTCCTGATCATCCTGGCTGCCTGCTCTGATTCTTTCTTAAAACCATGGTTGCCCAGAGCAAGAAGCATTATTTGAAATAGATATTTAATCAAAGCAGAATATCAGTGCAAAAATTACATTTGCTTTTTTTATAGCCCTATCATCCTGCTGGTTCATATTCAGTTCACCATCAACTCTTACTCAAATATCTTTTTCACAAGTACAATTTATTTACCCTTCAGGTACCTTCAAAATCAAATAAACTTGGAATTTGTCTTTTTGATTTTATTCGTATCAGCAGCTAATACCTTTGGTATTGCAGATTCAATTCATTCAGAGCAAAAACGTATTCCCAGGCCATGTTGTTATCCTTTTCAAAGCATCATGTCTGTCTTTTCATTCAGCTCTTCGACTTTTCTGATGAAGACATACTTTTTTGTTAGAAAAAAAACTAAACCAAAACAAGAGCTGTCTGGCTCTGCCTTTTTGTCACTACCTGTCCTATTCTGTTACACTCACTGTGCAACTGCGATCAATTATATCAGTATATTGGCAATTTTCCTCTTTTAACGTGAACATTTCAAAATAAGCCCTTTCTATTAGTCTCCTTCCCTAAACTATGTTCTCATTATTGTCTTGACACCAACTTCTCAATTATAGAGTCAGTATGATTCTGTGTGACCAAGACCGCATTCTATTTCCTATATTTGTTCTTACAGCTTTATGTTTTCACTAAGCCAGGGGCGTCAAACTGCCGGCCCGCAGGCGTTTCATCATACCAAAACCATGCCCACCCCATTGCCAGCAATGCAAAAAGAGTTGCGATACATCGCGACACGTCACGTGACGAGTTTTGATACCCATTCACTAAGCTTTTCATGTAATTACATTGCCTTCTTCTGTTGTTCTTTTTTCATCTCAATAAAATTGTTTATAATTTCCTTTTAATATCTCCATCTTTAAAAAACCCCTTTCAAGCAGGTTCTCTTTCAAGGGCATCCTACTTTTAACTGCTCCTTTTATTTGGACTAGATGACCTGAAAGATCTCTTCCAACATTATTATATTATTGTTATTGCTAGTGTTGTTGTTTGTTATTATTATTATTTAATTTGCTTTTTAGAATGCATTTATGGTTACACTATAAAAAATCAAGCATTAAATATATGATTTAAATTGTAAGCCACCCAGAGTCACTTTGCAGAGTGAGAAGGACAGCATGTAAGTTTAATAAATAAATTACATATTGTCAGTTTTATACTCTTTCCTCAGTAAAGTCTTCCCTACCAATTAGCATATAGCCTTACTGGGGAAATTTTTCCTGACTGAGGAGCAGCATTTCAATGCTTTAAATTAATAAAATCCCTGTGGAAATAACCAAGTTTCATAGTTTGAGGTAACATGACTGCTTTTCAATAAGCACAAGGAATGAGACACAGTACATTTTTAATATTCCTAAATGAGCAATGAGAGTGTTCCTCCAGTTATATTCACCACTATCCATTATCTTTAACAGAAACTTAGCTACTCTAGTGTACCACAGAGGTCCGGCTTTTTTTCTTGGCTGAGAATTTTCCTTAGCTTACTATACTACCACCTCTAAACTTAAAAAAACAACAACACCCTAAGTTATTGACAGAGGAAGGAAGATACGACCAAACCAAAGCCTAAATTTTATTTTTGATCATGTACATTTAAAATAATCAGGTACACTCAATGTAATTAATGGCAGGCAACCATTAACAGTTTAACAGAGCACTAAGACCGGACATCAGAACTTGTTTGAAATTTTAAATTAGCCATGCATGAGCCTCAGGGAAATCTTTCAATTTTAGCCCCATTTTATGTACTTTAAATTCAAACAATTTGGGGAGCATAGCTGTTATTTTTATGATATAAATCTTTACACAATTTGCATGCTGGATACATAGAATATGCTGAACAAAAAACATGCATGGACATGGCTGGTAGTTTTGTGAATGACCACTATTAATAATTTCTACATTTCACTTCCTTCTGAACATTTATCATTCTTCTATCACCACATAAACCTGTATGACACCCGATTCTCAATGACTGGGCAGTTCACAACAATCGAAGTACAATAATTAATTGAACAGCCTTTCAAATGCCGTAAGACAGTCATAAATGGATTGAAGCTTCTGAGTCAAAACTATGAGAATGATATATATACTACTAGACCATTAAAATATACTATTATATTATTCCAAGCTGCTACATTCTGAATAGAATTACTGGAATGTTTAGTTTAATGTCACCGATTCAGAACTCTGGTCATCCATTATCTAGGAGAGTTTCCAAATTGATCCATCAATTTGCAACATTTACTGATCCTCTTGCTGAGAAGTCTGAACCTGTCATTAGGAAGGTTGGGATAAACAAAACCTGTTGACTCAGGTCAACCATCGGGACAAACAACTTATTTATTACTATTAAATATTACTATAACACCGCAACAGGAGCTGAAATCTGAATTTTCTAATCCAAGCATCAGGATCTGTTTGAAACTGATCTTCCCCTACAAGTACTTACTACACATTGTGAACCTCTATTTTGATGCACAAAGCAACCAGATTGCCTCTGGTTTAGGCTTTATTCCTACGACATAAATAAAAATGAAGCTACACCAAATTTTTAAATAACTTGACTATATAAGTCTACTGAAATCATGCATCATAAAAGCGCAGTTTGGGTTGGCACATACATTCAGGATTCTACAATCAGTACAGAACAGAAAGTGAAATATAAGTGAAAACTGCTGCACTGAATGTTAAATGGATTTTCTGCAATGCAATAAATATTCTGACTGGAAACCACAACTGACAAGCAACAAATTAAAATTTTCTATTATTTTATCTTCAAAACTACTTTACATGACAATGCTTGGCTACCTTGGAACTTTGAAAGGAATGCATAAAAGATAGTTACAGAGGAAGCCCTTCTGATAGAATACATAATCCAGTTGGACTTGCAAAGAAAAATGCACACTTCTTCTTCTGCACATCTTCCCTGCTTATGCATTCTTGAGGTGTCTCTTGTGCACACACCATGGATTCTAATTCCTTGAGGATGCACCCCTTCCTTCCACTTCACCTCACCAGTTCCCAACCCACCAGGCACCTTCTACCTATTATTTCAGGCATTCAACCCACTTTTTTTCCAACGCCCTCCTTTATTATTATTTTTTAAGTTTAAACTTTAGACACATACTCTGCTAGCCCAACCTAGTCCCAGAGGGGGAATAATACATTGCTGACTCTTCTTCGCCATGGCAGCTGGCTGTGATGCAAGGGGCAGCCCCCCGCATCTGGAGGGCACCCGCTGGGCGGTTGCCTTTCTCCTAACCATGCTTGCTCAAGCACTTTATTTCTTGAAAAGCAACTTTAGTGACAGGTACGAAACTCACACGCCATAATGGGTTCACACATTCCTCAACGGGGGGGGGGGAGAATCCCATGACAAGCCACATTATGAAGATAACCGCCGGAGAAGAGGACGGCAGCATCCAAGGTTGCAGAACTCCCTCTTCGCCCTATTTAATACACCGCTCGCATTCCCACGCTCCAAGTTAGCCCTTCCTCAAAAGAAAGACCTAGTCCGCCTCCCTCTCCCCGAGCAGAGCCCGGGGACGGCGCTCCCTCTGCCCTCTCAATCCCCGTGAAGAGCCGGGAGCTCCAACGCTCCCCTTTCCCTTTATCTCCAAAAGGCAGCCCTCGGCGCCCGGGCTGCACATCCTTCTCCTCCTGACCCTCCCCCCTCCAAGAGCGCAGGGCTCTCTCGCCCCTTCCCCTAAGCGCCCGACCCCTCATAAAAGACTCCGGGCTTCCCGCCATTTTAAGCTCCGCTGGCTTTACGTACCCGGGATTGTGCCGTTCCGCAAGTTCCATCCGTCTCTCCCGCTCGCGCTCTCCACCGCCGCTGGGCTCAGGAGGCCAGTGGTTGCGAGCACAACCGAGCCTGAATCCGCCTGCGTGTCTGGCTCCTCCCCGGCGCCGCCTTCTCCTCCTCCTCCTCCTCGCTTTTCCGAGCCTGTTTGCTCTGGCCTGAGCGAGGAGGGAAAGGAGGAATAGGGAAACCTTGATGGCGAGGCTGGATAGCGGCGGCCCCCGAAGGCAACACTGCCGATCCGTTTCGCGTCCCACGTCTTGCAAGGCCTTTGTTGGAGAATCTCTCACTCTCTCTCTTTCTCTGTCATTTTCTCTCCCCCTCTCTCTTCCTCCCTGCCTGGGTCCACGAGTACCGAACAGCTGGAACGCATTTCTACGCTGAACGTGTTTATTAAAGCTTCGTGAAATCTGCTATAGTAAGGTGACCAACTTTTTTACAATGAGGAGGACACAAATAGAAGAAAAAAATATCGTAAATAAAACATTTTATTCATTGCAACAATACAGAATACACTATAATATGATAAATGCATAATAAAAAACGTGTAACAATAACATTTTATATTGTAATTATGCTTACATGCCTATTAATTTTTTTAAATGAGTACAAAAGAAGGACTGTCCTCCCTAAAGGAGGACGATTGATCACCTTACTATGTAGCAAACGGGTTTTATCTCGGTAAATGGCTGCATAGCCAGCTGCGGCCAATGCATTCCAAAGGTATTCCAAACCGCGTGGAAAAACTAGTTCTACGATATATTTTCCCATGCTTTATACACCCTATCTGGCTCCCTCTGGTTGTTGTAATCTACATCATTCCCTCATATGTTTGTAGCAATCGCACGTTGGGCTGGATTTGCACATGGTTGTCCGCAGCATTGTTTCACGCACAGTGAGGCACAGTTCTGTGGGGCTGAGCTTGTCTCCTCTATGCGTCCTGCGCTGCAGGATCATTAAAGAGGGCTATTGAAAAATGCAAGCATGAGGCCATCGCTTAAATTTCATGCAATTCTTGTTTTGTGAAAGCCCTCGCTTATGTGCAATATGATCCATATAGCAGAAGAGATGGTGGATATCTTCAAAGTGAGGTCAGAACTTTATTCCAGCTGATTCTTTTGACTCTTTTTGTAAGTTGCAGCAGCTATTTCTTCACATTACAGAAAATATGTCTTATTATTAGAAATCTCAAAATTCCGGTTATTTCTTTGGCAGCCTAAAGACTGCTTACCAATTAATTTATTTTCAGCTTTCGAGCAGAGGAAAATTTTCCATAGGGTTCTTCCATTAAACTATTATCACCCATTTTTCTGCCTGTTGTAGATTTTCCCATCTTTCTTCCATTCGTGCTCTAAAATGCTGAATAGAATATAGAAGCTGCAGTAAATGCAAATGAATATCTTTATTAACAGAAATTGCAGTGAAACAAATAGCTATGCAAATATTTTTGTGTGTTTCCCCAAAATGTGACAAGCCAAAACATAGATTTATTTATTTGATTGATTAATGTGGCCACCCATCTCAAACATGGCTCTGGGCAGATAAGAGGGAATAAAAACAAGAAAAAATATAACTGGGATGTTATATTTTTAATTGTTCTAATTGTTTTTAATGGTTCTGTTTTAATTGTTTTGATTGTTTCTGGTTTATGGAGTCCTGTAAATAAGGCACTATAAATTTAATAAATAAATAAAACAATAGGTAACAAATATAGCAGCCAAGATAAAGCTAAAGAGCGTAATCAACATAACCACAACATGGGCTTAATAGCACATCCCAGGCCCCAAATTACTATTTTGGCTTTGGTCATTAAGTCAAATCTTGTGTTAATATATTATTGTTTATTGAACTCTGACTTATTAAACACATCATTCTAAGAGTGTTTTTTCTGAACCACACATGAATGCACCCATCAGATCATGACATGAAGCTTGCAAACTCAGAAGAAAAATATTTCTTACTGCTATATTGGGTCTTAGGTCAACTTTTGCTTCCCAGAATGCTTCATTCTTGGTACTTTCATACACTTAGGATGTACACTTGAATAAGGCTATGATTTTTCAGGAAATCTACATGTATATATGCATATATAACCAGTGCTTTTTTTGTAAAAAAAAAAAAGTGCCAGAACTCACACATGTTATACAACCTGCCTTGCCTACCCTACAAGGTTCCATCCAAAAAAGGTGCCGGAACTCCGTTCTGGGCGTTCTATGACAAAAAAAAGCCCTGTATATAACTCCATATGTATGAGACCCAATTTAGTGTAGCATATTATTTTTTGTAAATGATCTCTGCGATACAAATAGTCCTGAACTTACTACCACAAATGACCCCAAAATTTCAGTTGCTAAATGAGACCTTTATTAAGTTAATTTTGCCCCATTTTATGATCTTCCTTGCCACAATTGGTAAGTGAATCACTGCACTTGTTAAATTGGTAACATAGTTGTTAAGTGAGTCTGGCTTCCCCATTGACTTTGCTCATCAGAAGGTTGCAAAAGATGATTACATGAGCCCAGGACATTGCAACCATCATAAATATGAGTCGGTTGCCAAGCTCCTGAATTTTGATCCCATGACCATGGGGTTGCTGTAATGGTCATAAGTATGAAAAATAATCATACAGCACTTTGTTCAATGATGTTATAACTTTGAATTGTCACTAAATGAACTGTTGTAAGTCAAGGATTACCTGTATTCTCAAGCAGGAGATGGGGAGATACCACTCCTCCTCTAGTTCTTCTGCAGCAAGCATTTGGAGATAATGCATCTTGTGGTAATTTATTCTCTAGATTAATGATGCCATCTATTACACCGTGGGGATCCCTTCTTAGGATAACTCTTTGGAGCATTTTGTACTGTGGAAATGTCTATGCCAACCTTTGTGGGGAGCTTTTTTTAACACTCTGGAAGTAAAATAAATAAGAATTCTCAGGGATGAACTTCTCTCTTTTTTTTTTTTTGAAAAAAAATGAGAAGATACTGCAATTTTTTTCATCCCCTGAAAATTTCTCAGAATTTCATAGCCCTATGAGGTAGATTGAGCTGAGAGTTGAGTGGTTGGCAGAAAATGACCCTTGTATATCTCTCACCTATACCCAACAGAGACTTCTTTTCAACACCATGTGTTGTATCACAATTTGTTTATAAATGATTTATTTAAGAGACTTTATAGCCCACCAACCAGAATCTTATAGCCTCTCCTCTCATGGTTAGAACCTACAAGAGATGGAAACCAAACACAAGAACCAATGCTGAAAGTCATAAGAACCTTAGTTTCTCTTTCCCTAGATGAATTTTCTGTTGGCTACTTCAGAGCCATGGATTACAGAAGGGCTAGCTGATGACCTTGAATTCTTAGGAGGGCGGATGGTAGCCCTGCCAGGTAGTCTCTGACTTACAACTGGGACACAAATTTCCATTGCCAAGCAAAATTATTGTTAAATGAGTCATGCCCGATTACATAACTTTTTTTCCCCAAAGTTGTTAAACAAATTACTGCAGTTAAGTGAATTATGCAATTGTTAAGCAAATCTGGCTTCCTCCACTGACTTTGCTTGTTGAAATCCAGCTGGGAAGTTGCAAATGGCAATCAATCTCGTGATGCTGCAAGCATCATAAATACATGCTGGTTGCCAAGTGCCAGAATTTTGATCATGTGACTGTAGGGAATGCTATGATGATTGTAAATGCAAGGATCAATTGTAAGTTATTTTTTCCAGCATCATTGTAACTTCAAACAGTCACTAAACAAATGACTGTATGTTGAGGACATACAAAAATATGTTTCCACAGGGAATAATTTTGCCCCCATAATTCAGAAACAAAGTAATAAGCCAACCAACCAATTTAGTGTGATATGCTAGTCTAGATGGTTGGGAATTAACTGCATCCTATCTGCATTGTGCAGTTGCATGCAAATGTTAGGTACCCTCAGTCACATTGCATGAAACCCTAAATGAATAGAAGCTATCACAACCTCTACAAGGAAGAGTCAAACATAACACCTTTCTGCAAATCTGAACACTTACTTAACTATTCATATGCAGCTGTTAACAGATTCAAAATAAGAAAACAATATGGCAAGTGCAAAAATTTGAATAACCTCTCAGTACTTCCTAACATATCTTTGGCAAAAATAACAGTTTCCAGATGTTTCCTGCACCCAATCAAAAGCCTTTCTATACTTGCTTTTTATTTTTTATTTTTTCCATTCTTCAGAAGTCTAATAATTCTGCTCAAAATAAAACAAAACTGGCACTATCCTAACTATTTCCAGAAATGTTGCAAATAGTACTGGTATTACTAAAGCTAATGTGTTCATCAAGATTTTGCTATCTAATTTAAAAAAGTGGTATGTGAAAATTCTGATTGGCTAAACTTGCAATGGGCAGCAGATGTCAGTATCAATGAACCCATTTTGTAAGAATCTAAGAAGAACAGAGGATGAAAATTATGAATTAAGAAATGAAATTGAAAGGGAGGGAGGGAGGAAATGCAGGTCTGTGAAAGTAAAATATTGCAATAAATTATGAATGCAAGTGGTACAATATTGAAGGATTGGGTTGTGCAGGCAAATGAAGTAGATTTAATTGTGAGTGAAAGGGCTAAAACGAGTGAGAAAAATTAAATTGCTATAATCTAGATTCTTGTGACTGTATATGAAAGTGGGAAATCATAATAGATTATAATGCTCCAATAAATAAAAACAGAAGAACTTGAAATGAGTTTTGGGAAAATAATGCAATATTTTGAACAAATGTACTACATGGAAAGTATGAATGAAAATGATGATTGATGAGATTTGATTAGGAAAAAAGTATATTCTGACTATATATTTTAAAAAATAAGTCTCTTAAAATGTATGCATACAAAGGAATGAATCTAAAAGCATAATTATTTTTGATGAAAAACTAATAAAAATACAGTGAAATAGGAGATTCTGGGTATGGAAATAGGATATTTTTTGTAGTATAAAAATAGACCTTGGCAATAAATGGACATGGAATAAAAACTAAAAAACACAAGAGTGAAAATACAGTGAATGCAAAAAGTCTATGTGAAAAACAACAGGGATTTTCAAACTTTGTGGTGCCATTACCCCTTAGGTACTAAATATGTGTGATTTCCCACAAGCTCTTCTTTGGCATTAATGAATATACCATCAATCAGTTTTGGTTTGAATGGTCTCCTTAGATTTATGTATTATTAGATTTGAAATGACTTTGGGTGGCTTACAACTACAATGTTTAGCCTTCCAACATAATTAATGCAACATTGCTGTAAGTATACAGGCTGCTTAGAATAGAGTGAATAATTATGTTGCTGAGTGTTGCAGAACTGTCTGGAGTTATGCTAACAACGATAAAAAAGCATGCTTGATACAGTGATAACATGAAAGAGGCTGTGGGTTAGAAAAAAACTTATGAGAGACTAATTATTTAAAAAATCAAAGACAGAAAGATACTGTTTATGTGTAAAGAAAGAGAAAGCTGC